CCACCTCTATGATGGCGGTCTGTAAAATAATCGAGTCTGGACCAGACAATACAGTGACTGACATCACAAGCATCGATCAACGCAATTGGGATCGATGGCATGTATCAACCTGACGAGCCTGACCAACCGATCCCGTTAGTCGCCTTTTACGACAAGCATAGTCGACTTTTAGGGCAAGTATGGGTTGCTGAAGACCTATTCTACCCCAGAATCTTCACGGGTCTAGAACCATGTGTAAGTATAGTCCTTGTAAGTATACAGTACGGACACATGAAGATCCGGGGTAGAGTAGTTCTTCAGCAACCCATACTTGCCGATTAAGGTGATTATGCATGTCGTAAGAAGCGACAAACTGGATCGGGTGTCAGGCTCGGTGACTTTGTTGATGCATGTCATCGCATCCAAATTGCATATATTGATGCTCATGATGTCAATCACTGGATTGTGTGGTCTGGTCCAGACTCGATTATTTACAGACCACCATATAGCCGGAATATTCCCGAGTGTGGTGTTAAACAACAAACAAAATAGTACAGATTTCTTACAGAAAACAGCAGTGTAAAAAATATAATTTTCTAAGCATAATTATTATGACAATTATGGTACATGGTTACATGTAATAATAAAGAATAACATTCTAATGAGATGCTACTTGACATATTGATGGCAACTGGTGTGGTGCTTGATTAGCCGACTTGATGCTAAGTGTGCTGGCTGGCTGATCACAATTATGGGATGGGCTCCAAACTGCAAATGTAATTTACAGAACTGCTTTAGAGATTAGACAAGCTGGCAATCAATAATCGTTTCAAATGTCCAGATCGGTCAAGTAACGATTATATGTGATCGATATCCCCCACTAGGGATGGTTATATTGGGTATTATCTCTTTGTCATAGATTCTATACATATAACGAGTCTTCAGCAACCCATGCTTGCCGTAAAAGGTGTCTATGCTTGTCCTAAGAAGCACTAACCGGATCAGGTGGTCAGACTTGCTGACTTGGTTGATGCATGTCATCGATCCCAATTGCGTGGTTGGATGCTCATGATATCAATCACTGGATTGTCTGGTCCAGACTCGATTATTTACAGACCACCGTCATATAGCTGGAATATTGCTGAGTGCGGCGTTAAACAACAAACAAACAAACATATTTTGAGTCTGAAGATAACCAGGGTCTGGTCGACATAGGAATGACCACACCAAAATATATCGCCATATGTTCCCTTTTTTTCCATGAGAATACCATACAGCAACCATTAATAATGCTTCTGTCCGTTATGTAAAACAAAACTTCGAGAGTAATGTACGTAGAAAATGTAGAAAATCTGTAATTCCGAGTTGTGAGTTGGTTATTATATAACACCCATAATTTGTTTTGGGGGAAAATGAAAAAAAAAGTGATTTTCCCAATCTCAAGTGAGACATCAGCTCAGTCTGTCTGTCATATAAAACAGTTTGATGACGTCCTCTTTTTTTATTTGCAACACTGCATTGATATGACATCGCGTTGCTATGTTCCACTTCACAAACAATGAAATCGATGCAGCGATTAGCATGAACATTTGAAAGGAGGCAGGAATGGGAACACTTCGTGAGAAATTCTCACAATAATAACACTGATATCCTTGCCCCTGTCTGTGTTCCCGCTGGCTTTCGAAACTCTAAAAATGACCAGGCCCCCCCCCCCCCCCCCCAATTTTTTGTCAGTCCCATCTTTCAACAGATAAAAAATCATATCTAAATTAACTGGTTTAATTGTTTCAACAACTTGTTCAATGCTATGACGTCATCTCTGAAGTAACTTAGTTAGATCTACACATTCACACAAAGTTCAGTCACAATTTTTTCTTTCTTTTTTTTAATATTTCAAGACTCAAAGTTGCTAAAAATATATATTTAACATCAAAGCAAAGCACTTAAAATAGACAAGGGGAATTCCTGATGGTAACAGACAAGATGACTTCGTTTGAAAAATATACTTATATGAATATTGAAGATGGTCTGTTCATCAACAAAGATTTATAAGGTACTTTATTTGCCGGTCCACAGGGACTGGCAGTCACATGAATTACCGGTCCAAGCCGAATGTTATTGCCAAAAAACTGGTAATTACCGGTAAATGGGAACACTGCCCTGTGTTTTATGTTAGCAAATTGGGCCCACTGGTATCATGAAGTACATATTCCTGGTAGATCGAAGTCAATTGATGGATTTACATTTCATCAAATTGCACCTTATAGCCTGCTGTTAACTTGGACACACCCACTCTGATCTAATCTATTACATGGTCATGAATGCCGAGGGTAGATTAGTTGTAATTGATACAGTATAAACCATATTATTCGTCACCTTTCAACCTCTTTGTGGTATTGGCTTACCAAAAGAGCCATTTTCAAATTAACACATACTTAAACTTATAGCGTGATCAGGTACTCCTCATTGACTGACTCTGTAGTTCACTAGCACTGACTAAACCGGACTAATCAGTCAACAGGTATTTTGTTTGTTGTTTGTTTTCTTTGTTGTTTAATTGCCACCCTCAGAATTATTCCAGCTAAATGACAGCGGCCTGTAAATCAGGCAGAGTCTGGACCAGGCAAACCAGTGATTGATAATATGAGCATCACTCCATGCAGTTTGGGTACAATGATATTCAGTCAAACAAGTTAACCATTGAAAGTCACCTCTTACAATAAATGTAGGTTACTGGGGACCTATTTAATCTGTAATCATGTATAACAAAATAACACTCACATCATGACAGTCTTCATTGTGTATGACAGTGTAGCAGGGTGTGGAGTCATCCTACAGATGACATCCTTACCTTGTCAGCTTGATGATGGCGTTAACTTCTTTGGTCATGTTGACAAGGTGTCCGACCTTTGAGGTTCGTGGTTGGATTTGATTTTTTGGTTGGTTTGTTGTTACGGAATTATCACTCACCACTGTGTATGACACCATGACACCATCATCACCATGACATCACTGACTATGACACCACTGTGTATGACACCATGACACCACTGTGTATGACACCATTATCACCATGACACCACTGTGTATGACACCATTATCACCATTGTGTATGACACCATGACACCACTGTGTATGACACCATGACACCATTATCACCATGACATCACTGAGTATGACACCACTGTGTATGACACCATGACACCACTGTGTATGACACCATTATCACCATGACACCACTGTGTATGACACCATTATCACCATGACACCACTGTGTATGACACCATGACACCATTATCACCATGACACCACTGAGTATGACACCACTGGGTATGACACCATGACACCACTGGGTATGACACCATGACACCACTGGGTATGAAAACATGACACCACTGTGTATGACACCATGACACCATGACACCACTGAGTATGACACCACTATGTATGACACCACTGTGTATGACACCACTGTGTATGACACCATGACATCCCTGTGTATGACATGACACCACTGTGTATGACACCATGACATCCCTGTGTATGACACACCTGTGTATGACACCATGACACCACTGTATGACACAACTGTGTATGACATCATGACACCACTGTGTATGACACCATGACACCACTGTGTATGACACCATGACACCACTGTGTATGACACCATGACATCCCTGTGTATGACACCTCTGAGTATGACACCACTGTGTATGACATCATGACACCACTGTGTGTGATACCATGACACTACTGTGTATGATACCATGACACTACTGTATGACACCATTGAGTATAACATCATGACCAGTTATGTGCCATCTTCCCAAGGCAAGGGAGTTAACCGTAAAAGTCCATTTTCCACCCCTGCCGAACCACGTTGAAATTCCTTGGCTCGATAGGAGCGGCACCAGTGGCTATTATGAGTTATGTCCCTTCTATGTCCCTCCTAATGACTTATCTGTTCCTATGTCGCATATCACTTGCATTTGCTTCAAACAAAAACGCGGCACCCAGTCAAGACAATCTGTTCGATAATCAAGATCTATATTGTAATAAAACGGGCCTTTCAAATCATTTGAGCACTATGATTAAAAACATGAACAAATTTAGAGAATATCTGTCGATGCCCAGTTGACGGTACACATGTTTTGCAAATCCTGCAGTTGACCGAAATCTGCACATTGGAATCCATGTTGTTTATGAACTGGATGTCTAGTTCGTTACACGATTTTGATTGGACTATGTATAGACTTGTTAGTGCAGCCAAAATGTAACTCCGGAATTCCAGCCTAGTTCAGCAAGGGTGGAAACTAGACTTTTATAGTCTGTTAACTAGGGCTGTTACGATTCACTCGCGTATTCGGTGAATCGAACCGTGTCCATTCATGAATTGAATTCGTTATTCGTGGTCTCTAGAATCAAATATTCATGAATATGCAGTCATGTGCATTTACATACCCTGACCCTTCAAATATCCATACGAACATATTATATGCATAGATTTCTTCAGTGACAGTATTTTAGTTACTGGTCATTGTCGCATTTGAGCAGACACAAGTACCTTGATAAGTGAAGTATATTAATGTATAATAAATTAATAATTAACAAACCATGTTTCACTGAATATCATAAATAATACATCCACTGCTGACTTGATATTATTCGTGAATAAATATTCGTATTCGTTACCCTATATTCATTATACAAATCGTATTCGCCTTATCGTGTAATCGTTGCAGCCCTACTGTTAACTCACTTGCCTCAGGAAGATGGTTCTGTTCATGAATTACATAATCAGTAATGATTGTAGATGACATGATGACCAGTCATCATTCTCAATGTTTGTAATCTCCAGTTAGTGATATGTCTCTGACAGAGTTCAAGGTCAGGCAAACCAGTGACCTATATCAAGATGACATAATGACACTCACTAATGTATGACATCATAATGTTCAGTATTAACCGTTTTGTATCATGTATTATAATGATGCTTACTATCATATTTGACATTTCAGGAGCTCGACCACCCTCTCCTCCACGACTGAAACGTCTGATGACTCCGATGTCCAGTTCAACGTTGTCCTCAGGTCAGTAGCAGTGTTACCATTGTGAAGTAATTTCTATATACTGTATTCGACGTAATAAGCACCCATGGCGCTCTCAAAATTAGAAATTGGGGGCTCTTATTAGAATATTATTTTGGTGAAAAAAAGATAAAAAAGAGTTGAAAGATAAATTTTGTGGTTTATGCTGACAGCCTGAAATGTTTATATACGACAGATATATTTGTCCAGAATTTAATTGCCCATAATTAAGGGTGCATATAACACACGAGTGCATATTATACGCGAATAAATAAGTCTTGTGTACATTGATCAATCAGAAGAGATGCTAATTTGGATTGTTCACTAGCCAATATATTAGCAAATATCGTCGTGGGCGCTTATTAGAGCAGGGCACTCATTACGTCAAATATGGTATTTGGCATTCAATCTTGTTGATGATTTATTAAAAATCATTGTTGGTAATAAACAATATACGAACCTGTTCCGATTTCATATAAGTTTATGTCCCGAGTGGGATAATTTGTAAAAGTATTTCATGAGGGGCATAAATTTTATATGCAATGAATTAATTTTACAAATTATCCTACTCGGGACATAAACTTGATCTGAAATGGGAAGCTAGTTTAATATCCTATAAATATATTACACACAGGCTGTTTGGGTCTTCAGTAGTAATTACTATATTCATGATGTATTTATTGCTGAAATATAATATTTATAGCCAGATATGTGACTGATATTTCACTTGAGTGCAATGAGGACGTCTGTGGACAGTGATGGAAGTTATTCATAGTATTGATGCTGACCCCTGCATTAGACCCCTTAGGTGGATCCAGAGGGAAGATCCAGGTGGTCCGGACACGCATGCACGCACGCACACTTTATTGAAAACCAAATGTAGTATGTTGTAGGCAGTAAAATTATTTGAAAGAGGATTTTGATATTTTGGACCCCTCCCTTTTAAAAATACTGGATCCTCCCCTGGACCCCACGGTAGCTTATGGATACAGTGATTTGTGGACTGATGCCATAACTCTGTGTTTGATGAGTGTGCACACAAACTCAGGCAGTGGTTCACACAACAACGTACAGCATGACAGTCCGTTTGGCTCCAAATAAGAACTATGAATTAAAAAATAACTCAAAATCGTGAATAGTCTATTTAATGTCAATGAATACCCTGTACCCAACAATATCTGCTGTTTGTGATTTTTATTCCCATCACTGGAAAAAGTTGTTTTAGAAACTATCATGTTGTTATGTATACAAGTTGACATCTTGAACGGAGGAACAGCACAGACACAAACTGCATGTGGTACACAGTATACGTCGTTGTTGACTGACAAGATGCACAGATGTGAAACAGTTGATTTTTAAGGTGTAAGATTTCTTTCAATGTTAAGCAGAAAGAGGAAAAACATTTTATGCCATTAATAAATACTTGAAACGAGCTTCTAAAGCTCTTGGTATGTCTCTTAATCAGCTGAAAAATGTTGTCCATTGACAGGACTCCAGCAGTCAGGCGAAGCAGGTGGGGAAGATATCAAAACCATGTTGGGCTGATAAATTAGACAGTTTTAATTTGGAGCCAAACGGACTGTATATGTGTGTTTGTTAGATGAATGGTGGGGTCTTTGATCTCGTCTCCAACCATATATACCGGTATATGGACCAAAGCTTATTATTAGAAAAAACACTAACCAAAGTCTCCTGCCCGTAATTAAATAATATGTTTTAACAATCCTTATGACAAAGAACGACATACGGAATACCGTGTCTAGAACACATATATATGGAACAACATCTGGCTGTAATTACTACCAGTGAATGAAGCATAACGTAGATTGTAGACATAATGTGTCATGGCTACAGGGTACAGTAATGTTGTATTGGACAATGGTTGTCATGAATAGTCACTATGTTAGCCATGTTTGTTATATGCCCACTCTTTCTGTTCCACATCACGGGAAGCTACTGAATGCTTGCCTGAATGATAAAACATTAAATTGAATCAAGTATGTGGTAAAAAAATAAAAATCATTTCACGAGCCCAAGTGTATCTATTGACAATATTGTACAAAGTAGAGGATATGGATAAAAACTTCTTTATTTACTGTTAAGGTGATGCTTTGGTATAGATCCTTATACCGTTATCCTTGCTTGACAACGGTATGGACCTATACCGAAATGTCGCCTTTACAGTAAATAAAGAAGTTGTTAGCCGTAAATGAGCTCTACTTTGTCCTCCGTCAACCTCTAAGTAATGCCTATCAAACAAGACAACATTTTAGTGTGAATATAAGGGCACTTTATACCTGAGCTTACTAGACAAAGAAAGTATAACTAGACACAGTCTTCGGACTAGTGGCTACTGTCAGATTGCCTTTGAGCTTAGGGACTGGCCATCATGATGCTCTTGGATGGGATTGAGATTTAAAAAAAATATATTTGGTTAAAAATAATACAGGACTAAATAATTTTGCTTAGTTTTGAATTTTTTTTGTTGGCTTAAGGAAACATATGGTGAAAAGAAAATTGTTTGGCTCCTTTTACAGAGACAGCATTATAATTTGGCACTAGTCCTGTAGTCCTTGTCAAACTTCCCAATAGTTAAGGTATCCTAAAGACTAGTAGAAATTTACCTGTTTCAAGGGTTTTACCATGTGTTATCACTATAAGGACCAGCATCTTCCCGAGGCAAGAGAGTTAACTGACTTTAAAAGTCCAGTTTCCACCCTTGCCGAACTAGGCTGGAATTCCTGGGCTCCAACGTAACGCCACCAGTGGCTATTACGAGTTATATCCCTTCTAAGCCTCTCCTATGGACCAATCAGATACCATCTCTCGTATCATTTGCATTTGTTTCAAACAAAAAGGCGGCGCCCAGTCAAGACGATCTGATCGATAAATCAAGCTCTATATTGCGATAAAAGGGTCTTACATCGCACCTTGATTAAAAACATGAAAACATCTTGAAAATATCTGTTGACAACGAGTTGGCCGCGCACATGCTTTGGAAATCCTGCAATCGACCGAAATCTACAAGACAGTTTACGAAATGGATTTTGATTTCATGGCTCGATTTTGATTGGACCAGTTAGTCCAGCCAAACCGTAACTCCATAATACCAGCCTAGTTCGGCAAGGGTGGAAACTGGACTTTTATAGTCAGTTAACTCTCTTCCCTCTGGAAGATGAAGGACCAGTGGACTAAAACTGTTAGTTTCTATCACTGAGAGATATGTATTGAAGCAGTGATTGAAAAAGTATTCTGTCTCTGACAAAAATCTCAGGTCCACCTCAGAATGTTAAATGGTGGGTCACTAATTGTTTCCAGTGCTGCATAAAAGCCATGGTATTAGCAAACATTGATAAGGAAGAAGACTGGTAACACGAGCATTTGTTATGATTGTCATGAAGGAATGTAATGATATATGCAGGCTGATATAACTATTGAGAAGAACTTGTTTAAGCCTTAGTGTAACTATAAGAATGTGCCATCGTAACACATGCCTGATCTGCTGATTGCTCCTACAAAGGCCCCAGATACAAACACCCTGAGAATGCTGCGAACCTGTGATTGTATCTGGAGATCTAGAAGTGGGTTTTATAATCACATCGGACTGCATCTTGACAGCGAGATTTGTGGGAGTGTGGGACAGATCTCAGCACAGTTGGTCACACAAAATGGTGTTCTTATCATGTTGTGCTGGCTGTGGTATATGATCACGTGCTTTAGTACTTCTGTCTAGCACTGGAGTAGTACCCCATACTATAGGTCCTACATCAGCAAGGTCTGTCCATCCTGTCCCCATCCTTTCCCCAATTTCTCTGAACAAGACCCTCAGGGCTCAGATGAGCTGTCCATCCTGTCCCCAATTCCTCAGAACAAGAACGCTAGGGCTCAGATGAGCTGTCCATTCTGTCCCCAATTCCTCTGAACAAGAACGCTAGGTCTCAGATGAGCTGTCCATTCTGTCCCCAATTCCTCAGAACAAGAACGCTAGGTCTCAGATGAGCTGTCCATCCTGTCCCCAATTTCTCTGAACAAGAACGCCAGGTCTCAGATGAGCTGTCCATCCTGTCCCCAATTACTCAGAACAAGACCCCTAGGGCTCAGATGAGCTGTCCATCCTGTCCCCAATTACTCAGAACAAGACCCCTAGGGCTCAGATGAGCTGTCCATCCTGTCCCCAATTACTCAGAACAAGACCCCTAGGGCTCAGATGAGCTGTCCATCCTGTACCAATTTACTCAGAACAAGACCCTCAGGGCTCAGATTAGCTGTCCATACTGTCCCCAATTACTCAGAACAAGACCCCTAGGGCTCAGATGAGCTGTCCATTCTGTCCCCAATTCCCCTGAACAAGAACGCTAGGTCTCAGATTAGCTGTCCATTCTGTCCCCAATTCCTCAGAACAAGAACGCTAGGTCTCAGATGAGCTGTCCATCCTGTCCCCAATTTCTCTGAACAAGAACGCCAGGTCTCAGATGAGCTGTCCATCCTGTCCCCAATTACTCAGAACAAGACCCCTAGGGCTCAGATGAGCTGTCCATCCTGTACCAATTTACTCTGAACAAGACCCTCAGGGCTCAGATTAGCTGTCCATACTGTCCCCAATTCCTCTGAACAAGAACGCTAGGTCTCACATGAGCTGTCCATCCTGTACCCAATTCCTCAGAACAAGTCCCCTAGGGCTCAGATGAGCAAGGTCTGTCCATCCTGTCCCCAATTCCTAAGAACAAGACCCCTAGGGCTCAGATGAGCAAAGTCTGTCCGTCCTGTCCCATGGTCCTCAGTGCAAGGACCCTAGAGTCGAGGTAAGGAAGTTCATCAATATTCTCTCCATTCTTCAGTGCAAGGACCATTCAGCAATGGATATACTGAATTCTGAATGTTTGTTACAGAGTGAGACCCCTCAACCCCCAGGAAGTGACCAGACATGATGAGTTTGTGGCCAGTTTTCCAGGAGAGGGGCGTGTTGCGGTAAGACGCATGCTGGGTTTGCTGCAAGTTTTCCTGGAAAGGGGCATTACTGCTGATGGACAAGTTTTCCTGGAAAGGGCCATTACTGCTGATGGGCAGGTTTTCCTGGAAAGGGGCATTACTGCTGATGGGCAGGTTTTCCTGGAAAGGGGCATTACTGCTGATGGGCAGGTTTTCCTGGAAAGGGGCATTACTGCTGATGGGCAGGTTTTCCTGGAAAGGGGCATTACTGCTGATGGGCAGATTTTTCTGGAAGGGGGCATTACTGCTAATGGGCAGGTTTTCCTTGAAAGGGGCATTACTGCTAATGGGCAGGTTTCTCTGGAAGGGGGCATTACTGCTAATGAGCAGATTTTCCTTGAAAGGGGCGTTATTGCTGATGAGCAAATTGTCCTGGAAAGGGGTGCATTTCCATTGTACAACTGATAGCACACATTTATTTTCCCTGATATGGACAAGCATTGTCAAGCCATTATTAATTTCATAGACATTATTAAACTGACATCATCTGGGTTCAGTTTGTATTTATTAGTAGTGGGATGATACACCGATGCATTGGTGGATCTAGATTTTTTACTTCTTGATACAAGTATCGATCACAGTCGCACACAAAGTAAAAAGTATTGATTCTTACCTGAAATGTATTTCCCAATAAATGTTTCACTAAACACTAATTTCTAGTGAAAATGAGTAGTGAAAACGTAAATATTTTCATCAATCTGTCCATACTTGAACTGCGAAATGTAAATCGTTAGTGTGCCAGGTATTTAGCCATCCTGTCCATGCAAGTATCATGAGACGTATCCAAGGATAATTCTAGGGTGGGGCCTTGTGCTTTTAGCCCCAAAATTTGAAAAAAAGGCCCATATTTTCAAAGACAATGGGGCATTTTAACATTGTGCTGTCTGGGCAAGTGTGGAATATTTGAAATTTTCACATAAAGGCCCCATTTCAGAAAATTCCTAGAGTGAACCCTGCGTATCAGATCATGAACTAGGTATCGTGATACGTATGAGATCACAAGCAGACTGCACGTATGAACTGTTTTTTCCAGATTGACAATTCCGGCACTGTGCGCAGCTTCTACTTCAATGCTGTATTTGAGCCCGATGCCTCACAGGAGGACTTGTTTGAGCACTCCGGTATTACCCGGCTTGTGGACATGGCGCTCAATGGGTGCGTACTTACAGCCTCAGCCCTGAATATCCCACGTAATGTTATATCACCATTCCATTATGATACACATACCCTGGATCCAAACCCCACCTTAGCTTCATTGCAGAGTGACATCACTATCTCCATCTCCCATATCGTTAACCTCGTGCAGACTTTGTCGCTCATCATATTGAACTCAACAATGACTTTTCCAATGACTATTTGGCGTAGATCTACTTCAAAAATTGTGGCTTCATTCAAGCAAACCCTTGATACATTTCAAATAAAGGATTTTTCTTTGAATCAGAATTAACTTCACATTATCATTAGTTTTATCATAATATGTTATTGTTTACTGTTTTATCATATTATGTTATAGTTTTATCATAATGTTATAGTTTTATTATAATATGTTATTGTTTTATCATAATATGTTATTGTTTTATCATATGTTATAGTTTTATCATATGTTATTGTTTTATCATATGTTATAGTTTTATCATATGTTATAGTTTTATCATTATATGTTATTGTTTTATCATAATATGTTGTAGTATTTTTTCAAATATGACTTTGATTGACATTATTGAATGCAATGTCAGAATACTTCTAAATGTAAGAATTCAAGAACCTTACAAAAGTGTCAAATTTTGGACATAAGCAAATGGCATAGATACTTTATTCCAAAGATAAATCCCTGCATAGATTCAAAGTGACATTACTCCACACTGATCCAGTAAGGACGAGTAAGGATGAGGTAATTCAGTGAGGACGAGGTAGGATAAGGTCCTTTTCCACTCTCAGAATCTGCATAATATTAAAACTGAGAAAAACTGTTTAGTCATTTTCATAAGAGTAATCAGTTTTGTTGATATTGACTTTGTTCCTTTCAACAACTGCATGTGTGGGATTTATGACAACAGTAAATGCATAGGTGAGGCTAATGTGTGTCAAAAAACTCTTTGTACAGGTTTTATGCAGTTCTACTAACATTTGAAAATGAACAAATCTTTAACCCAAACTGATTTTCACAGGAGATGTAAATAAAAACTGTACCAATATTTGGATAAAAAAATCACCTTCAGTCACAGATGTGCACATATGTAAATTGTCATTTGAAGTTGGAAAAATTGGCCCTTTTCACTCATTTTAGCCATACTTTTGTATTTGTTCATGTCAGAATTCCAAAACTTGCAACTGTGGGAAAGACAGAGACTAGTTGTCAGTAATTTCCACATGTCTGGTCATGTTCGTACCAATATTTCATAGTTTTTCGCCACTTTATGTTTTGACCGTTTTAGTAGGCCAGAAAGGGCCCTTATCCTACCTTTACCTTGGTTATGATTTCAAGAGGACTACAGGGGTTTTAATGTTATTTTCCTGAATACAAGTCCCCATCTATGTAATCGTGTGTTCTCTGTCTGCAGGTATGCATGTACGGCCCTGGCGTTCGGTCAGACGGGGTCAGGGAAGACGCACACCATGACGGGACCCCCACAACAGGTGAGTCTTTCCCCCCAACATCGGTAGAGAATAATCATGCTTGGTATCAGTCTCTGCTTCATCCTCTCCTGTAGATCATATTACCATGGCGATCACAAAAAGTTCTACCTTGTCCAATGAATTTGTAGCCTTACTGCTCCTGAAAACAAGAAATTGCCTTTTTATTATGACTGAAGTAGTAAAAATGCAACAATTTATTAATTGATTGTTAATTCAGCAGTTTTTACAATATGTTATTTATTTTGTGAGTTTGGTTGAGGTTTATTTATACTGAACAATAAACAAAAAGCGATACGGAACATCAATATTTTTGGGAATATTTTTAATAGTCATGACTTAGCGAAAAATTCATAAAAATATTCCAAAAAATATTCTTGATCCTTGACTTTTTTGTTCAGTATATTTGAGAAATTGAATACTTTGACAGCTTGCTATATCCCCATTTTCAATGGTTTGATTCTGCTGAAAACAATTGATTTTTGTTCTCCTCAATGAGAAACACAAATATTGCAATGTATGTACTGAGACAATACCTGTGACCCCCTCCAACCTACAATCTCATGTCTACCTGCTGTCTGCTGCTTGCTTGCCAACCCAGAGAACTGAGAAAAACGGGGTGAGTCTATGTGGGCATGTCTGTCCATCTGCATGGTCACTACTGTCCACAACACCACCCACACCTCTTGACTAAAACTCTTGCCATCATTGCTCTGCATTCCACTTCACTGTCACCATCACCACTCTGCATTCCACTTCACTTTCACCATCACCTCTCTGCATTCCACTTCACTTTCACCATCACCTCTCTGCATTCCACTTCACTGTATCCATCACCGCTCTGGACCACTTCACTGTCACCATCACCTCTCTGCATTCCACTTCACTGTCACCATCACTGCTCTGCATTCCACTTCACTGTCACCATCACCGCTCTGCATTCCACTTCGCTGTCACCATCACCGCTCTGCATTCCACTTCACTGTCACCATCACCCCTCTGCATTCCACTTCACTGTCACCATCACCACTCTGCATTCCACTTCACTGTCACCATCACCGCTCTGCATTCCACTTCACTGTCACCATCACTGCTCTGCATTCCACTTCACTGTCACCATCACTGCTCTGCATTCCACTTCACTGTCACCATCAGCGCTCTGCATTCCACTTCACTGTCACCATCACCGCTCTGCACCACTTCACTGTCACCATCACCGCTCTGCATTCCACTTCACTGTATCCATCACCCCTCTGCATTCCACTTCACTGTATCCATCACCCCTCTGCATTCCACTTCACTGTCACCATCACTGCTCTGCATTCCACTTCACTGTCACCATCACTGCTCTGCATTCCACTTCACTGTCACCATCACCCCTCTGCATTCCACTTCACTGTCACCATCACCGCTCTGCATTCCACTTCACTGTATCCATCACCGCTCTGGACCGCTTCACTGTCACCATCACCGCTCTGCATTCCACTTCACTGTCACCATCACCGCTCTGCATTCCACTTCACTGTCACCATCACCTCTCTGCACCACTTCACAGTCACCATCACCTCTCTGCATTCCACTTCACAGTCACCATCACCGCTCTGCACCACTTCACAGTCACCATCACCGCTCTGCACCACTTCACTGTCACCATCACCGCTCTGCACCACTTCACAGTCACCATCACCGCTCTGCACCACTTCACTGTCACCATCACCGCTCTGCACCACTTCACAGTCACCATCACCGCTCTGCATTCCACTTCACTGTCACCATCACCGCTCTGCATTCCACTTCACTGCCACCATCACCTCTCTGCATTCCACTTCACTGTCACCATCACCTCTCTGCATTCCACTTCACTGTCATCATCACCGCTCTGCATTCCACTTCACTGTCATCATCACCGCTCTGCATTCCACTTCACTGTCAACCTGTGAAGATCCGGGTCCGAATAGGTCTGCTGCAACCCATTATTGCCGTAAGAGGTGACTATGCTTGTTGTAAGAGGCGGCTAACGGGATCGGGTGGGCAGACTCGCTGACTTTGTTGATGCAATTCATTGTATCCCAGTTGCTTGGATTGATGCTCATGATATCAATCATTGGATTGTCTGGTCAAGACTTGACTATTTACAGAACGCCATCATACAGCTGGAATATTGCTGAGTGCGGCGTTAACAACAAACAAAATGTGACTGTCAGCACATCCGCTCTGCATCACTTTATATCACTGTCACTCCTGTATTCTCTAGACCAACCGATACCACTCCACTCCACTCCACTTGCACACCTCTGGATCTCATATCTCCCTCACCATCCCAGACCACACCACTTCCAGCTTTCTGTCACCAAGTTGTCACTTGATCTGAGGGTTGAGTAGTCGGAGTTGTCTCCCTTTCATCATTGCATGACAACAATTCCATCTGTGAGCTTCAGGGTTCTGTTGAGGAGTATATCTCAGTGTTCCCGTTTACTTTTGAAACTACCAGTCCACCAGGAATGGCAAATCTAAACATTACCAGTCCCCCCTAATTTTTGTCAGTCCCAACTTTTAGCAAATACAAAAAAGTATGAAAATTACCTGGTTTTAATACTTTTAACATCATGTTCAATGCAATGACGTCATCTCTGAAGTAACTTCGTTAAATCGACATGTCATTTACATAAAGTTCAGTCTGATATTCTCCTTTTTTTTGTTAATATTTCAAGCCAAAGTTGCTACAAATATATAGTTAACCTCGAAGCAAAGCGAAATGTGATTTGCTTGCACTAAAAATAGACAAGCGGAAACCCTGATGGTAACAGACAAGCTGGCTTCATTCGAAACATATACTTATATGTATATAGCCAATGTTTTGTTCAAAAACTAAGATTTATAAGGTACTTTTTTTGCCAGTCTACAGGGACTGGCAGTCACATGAAATACCTGTCCAAGCCTAATTTTACCGGTAAAAGACTGGTAATTACTGGTAAACGGAAACACTGTATCTAATCATGGCATGTTTGTCCATCGACATTCTATAGTTACTGTAACTTAGGCTGCATGTTTGTCTATCCACATTCTATTTGTACGAAATAGCTGCATGTTTGCACAATCTTTATTTTACTACATGAACAAGTAAGTTATTCTAGCCTCGGGGGCGGTCGGGTAGCCTAGTGGTTAAAGCGTTCGCTAGTCACGCCGAAGACCTGGGTTCGAATCCCGACATGGGTACAATGTGTGAAGCCCATTTCTGGTGTCCCCCACAGTGATATTGCTGGAATATTGCTAAAAGCAGCGTAAAACCATACTCACTCACTCACTATTCCAGCCTCACCAAGAAGTGAGAAGTGATACTATACGGTTCAATAAATGTTTAAGATACCAGTTTGTACAATATTTTATAATATCAGTCAGGTTAGTCTGCAAAAATCTGTAAGTCATAAATTATAATAAGTCAGTATTTCTTTTAAAACACCTGATAGTATGCATATATCAATTGAAGCACCTGACTATGTGCATAATGTCTTTTGAAGCACCTGATAATATGTATATATTGAGTGAGTGAGTATGGTTTTACGCCGCTTTTAGCAATATTCCAGCAATATCACGGCGGGGGACAACAGAAATGGGTTTCACACATTGTACCCATGTCGGGAATCGAACCCGGGTCTTCAGCGTTAGGAGCGAACGCTTTAACCACCAGGCTACCCGACCGCCCATGTATATATTGACTGAAGCACCTGACTATATGCATATATCAATTGAAGCACCTGACTGTTGGCATAATATCTATTGAAAAAGCTGACTTTGCATATATAAATGTATCTGCTGAAGCAGCTGACTATATGCATTATGTGTATTGAAGGAACATCTGACATTTTGACATTGACGAGGATGTGTTAATATCATGCATATCATATATTAGGAATTAACAAGTATGTATTACATTCGCCATAGGCTTGCACAATAAATATTTTGTGTATTCCTTTTGTTTGTGTGTTGTTTAGCGCCACACTCGTCCGTCTGTAAATAATCAAGTCTTGACCCAACACTCCAGTGACTGATATCATGAGCATCAATCCACACAATTGGGATATGATGTACTATTAAGTTCCTTCAAGCCTAATATATCCGACTAATAACAAATCTATTGGATCTGTATATCGCATCGATGATGCTATTCATTATGTGAGAAATATCTGTTTCCTTTGAGATTAACGAGTACGTAAAGCAGATGGCGGAGAGGAGCAAGGTAACGAGTGACGTGGTCAACGTGTGTGTCTAAATGTAACAATGTGTGACAAAACCGCTAGACCCATTGTAACACTTCAATAATCCAAAGAATTTAGCATCACAACACTAGGTTCAACAAAACCTGCTACTCCTCAGCCAAAGGAAACATTTTTATGCGATTAGAAAGAGAAAAATATTAAATTATGTAAATCTTCGGCAAAGAAAATCATGCCGCCATTTCAGATATACTACTCAAATAAAGTAAAGAACACCCACAATTATAGGACAATGTGTTGTAATACCCACCATCTGTAACAGATTAACTATAGTCATGAAAGAATTGGATGTTATTAACTTCTTTGAGTTGTATATATATATATATATTGGTCATCCCTCTTTTTGAGGATGAAGCATTTAACGATAGTTACTGGCAGAGGCTGGCCAAATACTTTGTCAATCCTTTTTGTGGCTCCTCCCCAGTTTGTTTTGCTTGTGTCATGGCTGCTGAATACATTCAGTATATGACTGATATTCTTTTGTGTGTTTAACACACTAAACAGATATCGTGTGTTGCAATAATTTGTCTGTGTCTTCCTGTCATGATTTATATGCTACAGTAACTCTTTTCCATTGTGATGTGGCCTGTGTCACAGAGAGATCTTAGCACAGTGATTATCCTAACTACCACAGATCCAGAGAGATCTTAGCACAGCGATTATCCTAACTACCATAGTTCCAGATAGATCTTAGCACAGCGATTATCCTAACTACCATAGTTCCAGATAGATCTTAGCACAGCAATTATCCTATCTACCATAGTTCCAGAGAGATCTTAGCACCGCGATTATCCTAACTACCATAGTTCCAGAGAGATCTTAGCACAGCAATTATCCTAACTACAATAGTTCCTAAGAGATCTTAGCACAGCGATTATCATCACTACCATAGTTCCAGAGAGATCATAGCACAACGATTATCCTAACTACTATAGTTCCTGAGAGATCTTAGTCACAGCAATTGTCCTAACTACCATAGTTCCTGAGAGATCATAGCACAACGATTGTCCTAACTACCATAGTTCCTGAGAGATCTTAGCACAGCGATTATCCTAACTTAGTTCACACAGAGATCTTAGCACAGCGATTATCTTAACTACCATAGTTCCTGAGAGATCTTAGCAAAGCAATTATCCTAACTACCATAGTTCCTGAGAGATCATAGCACAACGATTATCCTAACTACCATAGTTCCTGAGAGATCATAGCACAATGATTGTCCTAACTACCATAGTTCCTGAGAGATCTTAGCACAGCGATTATCCTAACTACCATAGTTACTGAGAGATCTTAACACAGCGATTATCCTAACTAATTATAGGTAACCTAGTTTCTTAGGGAAATCTTAGCACAGCAACTATCATCACTACCATAGTTCCAGAGAGATCTTTGCACAATGATTATCCTAACTACCTAGTTTCATAGGGAAATCTTAGCACAGCAATTATCATCACTACCATAGCTCCAGAGAGATCTTAGCACAGCGATTATCCTAACTACCTAGTTCCTTAGGGAAATCTTAGCACAGCAATTATCATCACTACCATATTTTCACTAAGAGATCTTAGCACTGCGATCGTCCTAACTACCATAGTTCCTGAGAGATCATAGCACAACGATTGTCCTAACTACCATAGTTCCTGAGAGATCTCAGCCCAGCAATTGTCCTAACTACCATAGTTCCTGAGAGATCATAGCACAACGATTGTCCTAACTACCATCGTTCCTGAGAGATCTTAGCACAGCGATTATCCTAACTTAGTTCACACAGAGATCTTAGCACAGCGATTATCTTAACTACCATAGTTCCTGAGAGATCTTAGCAAAGCAATTATCCTAACTACCATAGTTCCTGAGAGATCATAGCACAACGATTATCCTAACTACCATAGTTCCTGAGAGATCATAGCACAATGATTGTCCTAACTACCATAGTTCCTGAGAGATCTTAGCACAGCGATTATCCTAACTACCATAGTTACTGAGAGATCTTAGCACAGCAATTATCCTAACTAATTATAGGTAACCTAGTTTCTTAGGGAAATCTTAGCACAGCAACTATCATCACTACCATAGTTCCAGAGAGATCTTTGCACAATGATTATCCTAACTACCTAGTTTCATAGGGAAATCTTAGCACAGCAATTATCATCACTACCATAGCTCCAAAGAGATCTTAGCACAGCGATTATCCTAACTACCTAGTTCCATAGGGAAATCTTAGCACAGCAATTATCATCACTACCATATTTTCACTAAGAGATCTTAGCACTGCGATCGTCGTAACTACCGTAATTTGTTTCACAGAGAGATCTTAGGACTGTGATTATTGTAACCAAATCATAAATACCTGACTACAATAATCTAACTAAACCCAATGTCCAAAACAATTATGCCAAATATTAAAAAATATATCACACAATTTGTTTATATTTTCATTTGCACCAAACAAAATATGTAAGGGAATATTTTAGGGGATATTTTTCAGAAAGTGTTCTCAGTCTTCACTACAAAAAAACATCCCCAAAAGTATTCATCTTCCCTAACTGTTTTGTTAAGTATAATTGTCTTGCAAACAATCTCTAAACACTGATACCCGTGAAGATCCGGGGTAGAATAGGTCTTCAGCAGCCCAGGCGACTATGCTTGTCGTAAGTGGCAACGAACGGGATCAGGTGGTCAGGCTTGCTTCCCAATTGCGTGGATTGTCTGCGTGGATTGTCTGCGTGGATTGTCTGGTCCAGACTTCTGAATTTACAGACCGCTGGAATATTGCAGAGTGCGGCGTTAAACAACAATCAAACAAACTAAACACTGATATATGATTAAGGCCTTTCAACAGTCATAGTGCTAAGATTTGTGGAACAAGGTCCTGGGTGCCCTCCACAAAGCGATCATAGCGTTACGACTATCGTAAGCCAGTGTTAAAGTATGGGACTTACGATCACCTTAGCGCTAAGATGGCTTTGTGGAACGGGGTCCTGAACTAGCCTGTGTTGCGTTCGTGTTCTGTGTTCACCAGCTGCCATATCATCATCCTGTTAATGTTACATTTTTTGTGTATATATCACAGAATAACATTTTAATCTGTTTATGCATATATCAAACAGTAACTATTTCAAAACAATCTTATTATTGTTCAGTTATTTCCAACTAGGTTGCAAAGTTATTAATTGTTGAAATTAATGCATTGTTATGTTGTGGAGTACAAGGTATAAAAAGCCTTTTTTAACGTTGGATATTATTGTACATAGAACATAAGCTATAAAGCTATTTTTCCGACAAGAATGAATCAGGTTCTATATAAATTGCCGGGCAAAAGAATGTATTACACCCTTGTCTGTGGCTAAAAATGAAACAAACAAGAAATGGTTATTCGATGGTGGTGTGTTTAATATGGGTATCATAACTGTGTTTAATACCTTCAGCTTGAAGTGTTTAGTAGGGGAGAAACGATACATAAGTGCACAGGTGCATCATGAGTTTCCATGTGACATTACGATACACGATATGTTTTCTTCTGTATCGATACAAGACGATACACTTGCTAAAATAAATTCCTTACTACTTGTTTAATGACTCCCAGCATCTCTGTCAAATCATAAATGTTTTCTAATTAGCGTTTCAAGTTCACTGCTAAAATGGCAACTACAAAACATGTCTTCAACCAGCTTGTATATACTCAAGAAGTTTCCGCCATGCGTCCATGTTAACTCAACTCACCTGGTTAGCACAATGTTGAAAAAAGACAAACTTAAGTTTGTTGTCCTGATAAATATTGATGAAACTTTCCGGTAATGTTTAACTTACTTGGTATCCATTTTGCTAAGCAAATTGCACGTTTTTCAAATTTGAGATTGAGAAATAATTATCCTTATCAAGAAATGTATTTGCACATTGTGAAAAGTCTGGAAGATTAACTCTTTCATCCCTGGCTGCCCCAGAGTTATGTCCCTTGAAACACTGCAGTCCCTGACACTGACAAGGCCTGTACACTGGCCTCCCTGGCAGTATTATTGGAAAATCACACTATCATTTTTGATGCACTTTTTCTACCAGAAACTTGCTTTTAATATATACTTATCATATACAATTGTAAAGAGGATTAAATATACTGTAATATCCTTTGTTGTTATTTTCTCTAACCTTTGTTATTTTCTAATTAAAGGTGTTTACAGGTGAAATAAAAATTGAAAACACTGAAAAAATGATAACAGACAATGAATTTGGGCTCAAATTGTATTAACGGTGTCCAATTTGACAAACAGATTACAGCACACTCTCCTGTTCATAGAGCATATGATTAGTAAGGGAACAAAAGCTCTCAGCAACTGTACCCCACTAAGCCTTAAATCATCGCTCATGTCCACCAGTGTTCATCCGAGACCCCATTCCACAAGGTGATTTTAGCACTAAGATGATTGTATCTCCCATACTTTAATATAGGCTCAAGATAGTCGCAGCGCTAAGGCATTTGAGGAATGGTATTGCAGTACTATTGCGGCACAACTTGTAACAGTGTAATTATCTCCCTTGGATTGTTGCCAGTTCCTGGATGGCCTCAAACCTGACCCGAAGATGTTCGGCCTGATCCAGAGGTCATTCCGCTACATGTACCGACAGCTCAAACAGTTGGGTGCTAACAAGATCATCCGGGCGTCTTACCTGGAGATTTACAATGAACAGGTAATAGCATGCATGCATCATTAATCATCCTCAGACAATCCCTCAGAGAGGCTGAGTTGGAGAACTGCTACTGAGGCATTATTTGTGTTATAACATGGCTATGAAACTTTCTTAATTGTTGAGATGTTTACTTAGACCCAAATGATAGTGAGTGAGTGAGTGAGTTGGGTTTAACGCCACTTTGAAGAGTATCCCAGTTATATCACGGCTAGTCAGCTTAATGTGGGAGGAAAGCCTAATGGTTTTTTTTGGTTTTTTTTGTTTTTTTTTGCTGTTTAATGCCGCACTCAGCAATTTTCCAGCTATATGACAGCGGTCTGTAAACAATCGAGTCTGGACTTGACAATCCAGTGATTGACATCATGGATTGACGTAAAAGGCGACTATGCTTGTCGTAAGAGGCAACTAACGGGTTCGGGTGGACAGACTCGCTGACTTGGTTGATGCATGTCATCGATCCCAAATGCGTGGATTGATGCTCATGATATTAATCTGGTCCAAACTTGATTATTTACAGACCGCCGTCATATAGCTGGAATATTACTGAGTGCGGGGTTAAACAACAAATCAACCAACCAACCAACCCTAGCATTACTTAATTCCATAGATGATTAATATACTAGTCCACAGCTCATTTAACCAGGGGTCCGGAAACCGTCATATGCGCCGGACATGTCCGATTGGGAATCTCAAATGTCCGTTTTAAAATATTGCTTACCGGACATTTAAAAAAGGATTGTCCGGACATTCTTAAATTTTGACCGGACATGATCAACAGTTAGGACTGAGCAGTTTCTGTCTGCAGTTGCAACACAATGAAGATTAACTACACTGACAAGCTTTGTTTGTTTTGATTGCTGTAAATACATCGTACCTACACGATAGTCCAATCGGTCAATCACTGTAATAGGCAATAAACTGAGTTGACACTGATTAATCGAGGATTAATTACTGAGAACATCTTGTTAATTTGAGTGAAAGGTGTTTACAATTGTACATTAATACCTTGCATCATCGATGTACCTCATTATCCTCACAATGCTACGATACGTAACCTCAGACAAGAAGCGAAAGCGTGACGACAGCCAGTGGACCGATGCAGATCAGTCGAGCGGATCTGCCAAACCCTCAAAGTCTGGACGATCATTTTGTAAGTCGTGGCTAACGACTTTCACTTGGTTGACATACAATGAGGATTTGCAGATTTTATTGTTTTTCAGTAGCTAGTCGTATATTGAATCTTGATTGACCGCCATTTTGCTTTCTCGGACGATCGATATCCAATTTTTTTATGGTCAATAATTAAGTACAGATGAAAAAAGTATTCAAATAACTATTGCTATCAACGATATTTTAGTATTTGTGATTAAATTATCTGTCTTGTTTTTAAAAAAATCTTTAGTTTAAAAAAACCTTTTCCCGTGAGGTCACGTGATAACCAAATATGGGATAATAGTGTCGATCCAAATGTTACAACGCGTATACTTGAGCAGACTCAAGAATATAACTCATGAATATTAATTAGACCGTTCACTACGTTAACAGATCGTTATTATAACAGAAACAAACGTATGTTTTCCATGTAAATCTAAAATGATATTATTTGTTATTAATTGTCCTGTGAATTAAACAATTTAAATTGAAACAATTCATAATTTATCATATTATGAATACGTAAACTTGTAATGTGTGTGAAAAGTCGTACTAAAATACGCTATTTGAAGGGGGCGTGGCCTAAATGCAAATGTCCGATTGGGATTTTAAATTTTCCGGACCCCTGCATTTAACTATTTGTTCTTGTGATATATGGAGGATATTTCATGTGTCAAGTGTAATATCATGTTTCTCTCATCGAGTGACTGGGGAAAGGAGATATTTTCACAAGTGGCGTATCTCCTTTCATCCTGTCATGAGATGTTTCGTGTTTGCAAAACCTTATAAAAATATAAACAAAAGTAACAAAAAATGTTGAGGGTCACGAAAAATATTGATCACTCATTTAGTTATGATTACCGTATTCGACGTAATAAGCGCCCGGGCGCTCTCAAAATTAGAAATAGGGGGCTCTTATTAGAATATTATTTTGGTGAAAAAAAACATGGATGAAAGATAAATTTCGTGGTTTATGCTGACAGCCTGAAGTGTTTATATGCGACAGATATATTTTTCCAGAATTTAATTGCCCATAATTAAGGGTGTATATAACACACGAGTGCGTATTATACGCGAATAAATAAGTCCTTTGTACATTGATCAATCGGAAGGGATGCAAATTGGGCTTGTTCACTAGCCAATATATCAGCAAATATCGCCGTGGGCGCTTATTAGAGCGGGGCGCTTATTACGTCGAATACGGTATATATTAATCATCTACAACAAAAATATTCTTGAAATCTGCAAGACCACCGTCAGAAGCGACAGAATGCACGCTGGCCAAGTACCAAAAATGGCGTTATGTGAACGAACAGTCTCAATTGATGAGTTAAAATCATTTTTAAGATAATAACAAAAGGCAAAAAGCTCCATAAATGACCATCTGTTATTATTTTGCCTTGTCAATGTGGAACTAACATAAAAGGAAAGTCAACTCTTTGTGTACGGGCTAGACACTTACGATAAAGGGAGACAATTTGCGGGAAGGCAACTCTTGTATGACAATAGCTCCGTCAAAGTGTTATGTTCACAGAATAAAATATCAAGTGTTATGTTCACTGCAGTAATACATCAAATGTTATGTTTACATCAATGAAAATATCACTTTTCTCAACTTCGGAAAACTCATATCAACTGTACCAATTTGTGACCATGGAACAGGATGTGAAGTTCTGGAATTATCTGAATGTGTCACTACAGTGTTGAGAACATAGTTTACAGCCATCTGTTCACTGCAGGTGATAGACCTCCTGAACCCCACCCATCGCCGCTACCTCTCCGTGCGCTGGTCCAAGAACAAGGGCTTTTATGTGGAGAATCTTTTTAGCATGGAGTGCGAGTCTCTCGATGACCTCATGGCTGTCCTGGAAGAAGGTGATTTGCTTGTCTTGTCTGTGTTTTTGTGTCTGTGCTTCATGTATTCATTCAGTGTCCTTGTCTGTCCAACTTCCAGAAAAGATTGTGAGTCTCTTGGCCTAATGGCCATGCTTGAGGAAGGAGAGATATCTGTGTCTGTCTGTCTGTCTGTCTGTGTCCATGCTGTGTCTGTGCTGTGTCTGTCTATTACTTTGCTAGAGCGTCTGCCCAGAGAGTGGAAGGTCCGGGAGTTCGATCCCCGACCGCGTCATACCAAGACGTTAAAAGATGGTACTTGTTGTTACCCTGTCTGGCACTCGGCATTAAGGGGCTAAAACAAGGACTGGTCGGCTTGGGAGTCAGTATACTGTGTCTGAGTGGGGTATTCATGTTAAACTGCGGCATGGTATCTCAGTGAGCAAGCACTATAAATCGGCGTCAGTCCGGACTAGTACAAACAGCCACACAAACACACTCACGTACATGCACATCGCTATATAAGTGCAATAATCTTGGATTGAACACATTTTGAGATAAAAAAAATTAACATTTCTAGTTGATTTCTTCATGAGACTAAATTTAAAAGAAAATGTTGAAGTTAAACTATTCTCTGATGATGAAGTGAGCTGATGTTGCCTGTTTGTCTGTCGTCCGTACATCCATAGTAAACCACTATACTCCAAAACCAAGGGACCTTTGAAGCTGAAATTTCAAGTAATTTTGAAATGTAATCAAATTTCATGTTTAGTTTGTAGTGGGACTCAACACGTTCCATTTAATATATTTTGACCTCTGCATTTTTACCATGCTCCTTTATCCTCATAAAGTTAATTTCTTGGCAGTGTAAACATCGTCTCCTCCGAAACCACTGGCGCGATGAAGCTGATACTTCACATGTTCTTCCCACCAAAGACCACACCCAATTGTTAAAGAGAGAAATCTGATTTCAGTATGGCCTCCAAAGCAACCATATTTAAAAACCTTTGTATGGGCATTACTCAGCCATGTTTATCAAATTGTCATGAAATTTGGTATATGTTTAGTTAGTTATGGCACTCAACACAAACGTTGTGGCTATATTTTAAATTTGACCTTGTTTTGACCTTTATTTTTTTAACCATGCTCTTTAATTGTCTTAAAATTCATATTTGCCCCTGTAAAACCCTTCCGATTGAAATTGCTAGACTATGAAAAGTGAACTTAGGAATGTATCTTTCTTCTCATGATGATGTCATATTTTGTTGTAATGATTTGGAATTTAGTGATAGTTTTTAATCTTCAGTATCTATGCGGAAAACATTTGAATATACATTATGTGGCTGTCTTTGTCCTGTTTGTTGACATTTTAGACTGTTGACTGCATATGCAGGTGAGCTACAGTGCTGTGGCAATGACTTTACATGATTCCTGAAGACATATTCTATAGTTCCTGAGCCCATCATTGGAAATGATCTGTAAGAATTTCCTTATTTTAATCATCGGCATAGAAACAAAACAATATTTGTGAATGTGTGACACGCCCTGTGTGATTACTCTCCACTCTGCCTGGACTATACCCTGTGTGAATACTCTCTGCTCTGCCTGGACTATACCCTGTGTGATTACTCGCCTCTCTGCCTTGACTATACCCTGTGTGATTACTCACCACTCTTCCTGGACTATACCCTGTGTGATTACTCTCCACTCTGCCTGGACTATACCCTGTGTGATTACTCTCCACTCTGCCTGGACTATACCCTGTGTGATTACTCTCCACTCTGCCTGGACTATACCCTGTGTGATTACGCTCCACTCTGCCTGGACTATACCCTGTGTGATTACTCTCCACTCTGCCTGGACTATCCCCTGTGTGATTACTCTCCACTCTGCCTGGACAATCCCCTGTGTGATTACTCTCCACTCTGCCTTGACTATACCCTGTGTGATTACTCTCCACTTTGCCTGGACTAAACCCTGTGTGATTACTCTCCACTCTGCCTGGACTAAACCCTGTGTGATTACTCTCCGCTCTGCCTGGACTATCCCCTGTGTGGTTACTCTCCACTCTGCCTGGACTATACCCTGTGTGATTACACTCCATTCTGCCTGGACTATACCCTGTGTGATTACTCTCCACTCTGCCTGGACTATACCCTGTGTGATTACTCTCTACTCTGCCTGGACTATACCCTGTGTGATTACTCTCCACTCTGCCTGGACTATACCCTGTGTGATTACTCTCTACTCTGCCTGGACTATACCCTGTGTGATTACTCCCCACTCTGCCTGGAGTATACCCTGTGTGATTACTCTCCACACTGCCTGGACTCAACCCTGTGTGATTACTCCCAATTCACCCTGGACTATCCCCTGTGTGATTACTCTCCACTCTCCCTGGACTATCCCCTGTGTGATTACTCCCCACTCACCCTGGACTATCCCCTGTGTGATAACTCTCCACTCTGCCTGGACTATCCCCTGTGTGATTACTCCCCACTCACCCTGGACTATTCCCTGTGTGATAACTCTCCACTCTGCCTGGACTATACCCTGTGTGATTACTCTCCACTCTCCCTGGACTATCCCCTGTGTGATTACTCTCCACTCTGCCTGGACTATCCCCTGTGTGATTACTCCCCACTCACCCTGGACTATCCCCTGCGTGATTACTCTCCACTCTGCCTGGACTATACCCTGTGTGATTACTCTCTACTCTGCCTGGACTATACCCTGTGTGATTACTCTCTACTCTGCCTGGACTATACCCTGTGTGATAACACTCCACTCTGCCTGTACTATACCCTGTGTGATAACTCTCTACTCTGCCTGGACTATACCCTGTGTGATTACTCTCCACTCTGCCTGGACTATACCCTGTGTGATTACTCTCCACTCTGCCTGTACTATACCCTGTGTGATTACTCTCCACTCTGCCTGGACAATCCCCTGTGTGGTTACTCTCCACTCTGCCTGGACTATACCCTGTGTGATTACTCTCCACTCTGCCTGTACTATACCCTGTGTGATTACTCTCCACTCTGCCTGGACTAAACCCTGTGTGATTACTCTCCACTCTGCCTGGACTATACCATTTATGATTACCATCAACTCTACCTAGGATTCATACCTTGTGTGAATACTCTTGACTCTACCAGGATTCACTCCCTGTGAGATTACTCTCAACTCTATCTCGACTATGACAGTGATTACTATCTATTAACTCATATATACTGTGTTATTACTCATGACTCTACTGGGATTCATAGCCCAAGGGATTACTTTCAAGTCGATCCACAACTCTACCTGGGATTCACATACTGTGTGATTACTCTCAACTCTACCCTGGATGATAACAGTGATTACTATCAAATCTTCCTAGGGATTCATATATACTGTGTGATTACACTCAACTCTACCTGGGATTCATTCCTTGTGTGAATACTCTCGACTCTACTTGGACTATACCCTGAGTGATTACTCTCAACTCTGCCTGGACTATGACAGTGATTAAGATCAACTCTACCAGGGATTCATATATACTGTGTGATTACTCATGACTCTACCCAGGATTCACTCCCTGTGTGATCACTCTCGACTCAATAGGATTCATACCCTGTGTGATTACTATCAACTCTAACGGGATTCATACCATGACTTTCAACTTGATCTTCAGCTCTATCTAGGATTCACATACTGTGTAATTTCTCTCAACTCTTTCTGGGCTATAACAGTGATTACTATGAACTCAACTCATATATACTGTGTTATTACTCTCAACTCTACCCCTATTCACTCTCTGTGTGACTACTCTCAACTCTACCAGGATTCACTCGCTGTGTTATTACTCTCAACTCTACCAGGATTCACTCTCTGTGTGATTACTCTCAACTCTACCAGGATTCACTCTATGTGTGACTACTCTGGACTCTACCAGGATTCACTCTGTGTGTGCATATTCTCAACTCTATCCGGATTCACTCTGTGTGGGACTACTCTGGACTCTACCAGGATTCACTCTGTGTGTGATTACTCTCAACTCTAATAGGATTCACTCTGTGTGATTACTCTCAACTCTACCAGGATTCACTCTATGTGTGACTACTCTGGACTCTACCAGGATTCACTCTGTGTGTGACTACTCTCAACTCTACCCGGATTCACTCTGTGTGTGATTACTCTCAACTCTACCAGGATTCACTCTATGTGTGACTACTCTGGACTCTACCAGCATTCACTCTCTGTGTGATTACTCTCAACTCTACCAGGATTCACTCTGTGTGTGACTACTCTCAACTCCACCAGGATTCACTCTCTGTGTTATTACTCTCAACTCTACCAGGATTCACTCTATGTGTGATTTCTCTGGACTCTACCAGGATTCACTCTGTGTGTGACTACTCTGGACTCTACCAGCATTCACTCTATGTGTGATTACTCTGGACTCTACCAGGATTCACTCTGTGTGTGACTACTCTGGACTCTACCAGGATTCACTCCCTGTGTGATTACTCTCAACTCTACCAGGATTCACTCTATGTGTGACTACTCTGGACTCTACCAGGATTCACTCTGTGTGTGACTACTCTCAACTCTACCCGGATTCACTCTATGTGTGACTACTCTCAACTCTACCAGGATTCACTCTGTGTGTGACTACTCTCAACTCTACCAGGATTCACTCTCTGTGTTATTACTCTGGACTCTACCAGGATTCACTCTGTGTGTGACTACTCTGGACTCTACCAGCATTCACTCTGTGTGTGACTACTCTGGACTCTACCAGCATTCACTCCATGTGTGACTACTCTGGTCTCTACCAGGATTCACTCTGTGTGTGACTACTCTGGACTCTACCAGGATTCACTCTGTGTGTGACTTCTCTGGACTCTACCAGCATTCACTCTGTGTGTGATTACTCTCAACTCTACCAGGATTCACTCTGTGTGTGATTTCTCTGGACTCTACCAGGATTCACTCTCTGTGTGTGACTACTCTCAACTCTATCCGGATTCAATCTATGTGTGACTACTCTCAACTCT